TATCCTACGTTGGCCTACGCACGAGACATATTCAGGAAGCAGGTATGGACAAAGCAGGTCATGAATCTGAATTTATTTGGAGTTTGTAGTTTGGGCATTTTTCACTAGAAGAGGGAAATGGAACATTTTGGATCGGAGGAAATACCAAACTCAGAGTAAGCGCAGATTACTCTAAAAGTTCTTGGAATAGCTAGGAATTTCGATTAAAATGTCCGACTGATGAAAATTTCCCTTGGAGAAACGGATGCCAAAACGGCCCCACGACTTTCACTTAGGAACTCGGCTTGAGATAAAAGCGCTCTTGGCTCAACTTTTTTTCTCCAATAATTGTATTCTTCGTAGGTAATTGGGCGATGAGAACCACTGCTCAGATACGTAACTGCAGTCGAGACAAGCATCTCTAGCAGCGGTAGAGACGAGGCAGCGAGGAAGCGAGGAGAAAGGCCTCGGATCGGGCATCCCTGGGCCATCGCATCTCGCATGCTCGTGGCGTCTCTCCCCGTGCGTCCTGTCTCATGTGGGCGTGGCAGCGCTTCATCTCACGTCCGATCCTCGTGCAGGGTCACATTGGGGTCCTGTTGCTCTAGGACGGCTGTCGCACGTCGACGTATGTTCAATGGCGATGAGAGCGTGTCGTGTGCGAAGACCAATCGTGTAGGTTACGGGACCCCAACATTCTTTCTGAATCAATTTCCGAAGAAATAAATTCGAAATTTGCTTTCTAATGTGGCTGCGGTTGTGTCGCTTGATTAAGAGAAATTTCTTTCAGAAACTCTTGACATACTCCTCCAAGCAACCCTGCCAGTTAAGGTAACTTAATTAATTTGTTCTAAAGTGGCTAAGAGTAATCTCTGCTAGTTGCTCTGCGTTGGGCCCCATTTCTTGTTTTTATATCCATTCGCGCGTATGGAAACGCAACTGGAGAGCGGTGATGTGGTAATTGGTGGCAAGTCGGAATGCAATAGATTGCTCACGCATGAGCCTCTCTTCTGCTGTGAGCTGTCATTTCAGGAAAAAAAAAACCATGGGAAGACATTCTGACGGATGGCCTTGGCTTGAGACCAAACCACATGTAGAAAGAAAGAAAAAAAACGGATTGTATTCGCGATTCTCGGTTGCATCCACATCCCAGTCCACGGTGCGTGCAGTTCCAATGCGTGCAGTGCGTGCAGTTTCGGTGTTTGGCGTTTAGGCGCGTTAAGTGCATCAGGCAAGAGGCGCGGATTCCCCGCTAGAGAACCACGTGCGAGGGAGAACCCCGCCTCCTCCCTCCATCCTCCACTATCTTTCATCCTTGCTCTCCTTCCGTCACGCAGATCGGAAGCAGATCGAGAAATCACTGGAGAACTAACTGAACGGGAAATCACCCTTCGAAATGGAGCTGATTTGCATCTTCCTTGTCGTTTTCGCTCAAGGTTCCTGGTATGTCTTTAAGAAAAGTTTCCCCTCGAAAGGGAAGGAATATTTTTAATCCCCGTGAATCCCATTCATTACGGTGATACCTTAAGTACCGATTCCATCGCTACCCTTCCGTAATTCTTTTTCGCCTTGTTTTTTATTGGTTGATGGAAAATACCCGTTAAGAAAGGACTTTCCCAATCAACATCGAAGAAACAGGTGCTTCTCGAAACCAATATTCGGAGAACCCTTTGAACGCGGAACACCAACGCGACATTTGAACTGGTCAAGAAGTGATTCGAATTTACAATTTCATCCTTCTTTCCAGGGCCGTGGACTTCCGGATGGAAGAGAAGCGAATCCTGGACGAGATCCTGAACCCGGAGAAATACGATGCACGCATCCGGCCGTCGGGAATCAACAATACTGGTCGGTCCTCTCTGCGATGCTCGATTTCGCTTCAGTTTCCGGTGATGTAGGGACGGAGAAGCGTAAAGTGGATCCATGGCAATGGGTGAAATGGATTGTATTGGGTCGATCGGAAAGTTTTGGCCGTTTCGAGAATTTTTCAGAAAAAAAATTTCTGGAACTTTATCGAACCTTCCACAGTAGCAGTATGCAAAGGGTGTTTGGGCATAATTACGCAACAGAGGCTTTGTCGTTCGAAGCCTATAACCATGACTTCCAAAATCGACTTTACCCAGACCGCCCAACGTCAGTACCTTTTTTAGGCCTTCCTATCAGGCATCGCAGCAGCTGAATCGAGTCGTCGCATCTGAGCCGCGTTTGACCAAGATGCAGTTTACGAAAGTACAGCCCGACGATGGTTCGATCGTTTCCGGGTCTGGAAATTACAGCCTCGAGGATGAGCCCAGGTCAGGCCGCCCATCTTAAATCGGCGACGAGCAGTTGCAGCGCACAGCGGAAGCCGATTCGAGGCAAAGTACCCGCGACTTCGCGACGGCACTTCGCTGGCCCCAGTCCACGATCGCGACGCACCTGGCTGCAATCGGCAAGAAGAGCAACTTGGGTCAGTGGGTACCCCACGATCTGATAGACTGCGACCGCGAACGCCGTGCTGAGGCGTGCACTTCGCTGCTGTCGTACGAACGCACAAACGAATGGCTGGATTCCGTAGTCGCCGGAGACGATAAGTGGATGCCGTACGTGAACTACAGACGCAGGCGCCAGTGGTTCGATGCCGATGCCCAGCCAGACCCGGAGACGAAAGGTGACCTCCATTACGGAAATGTCCTATAGGAAACCAATAGTGATTTCTTATAGGAAACCTATAGAGTTTCCTATAAGTTTTTGAAACGCGAAAGACCTATAGAAACCTATAGGATCCGTATAGGGTCTTATAGGTCTCCGGACCTATAGGATTCGAGGAGGATTTTTTGGGTTTTCAAACCCAGGCATTACGACGGAAAAGGCGACCGGGGTCATTATCGGCGCAGCATTTAGGAGCTAATCAAATACCGATTAAGGGTTTTCAGGGTGGTCTCCTGAGACTATAAGGAATAACAGGTTTTACTTCTTGCCTTTTGAGTATTGCATCGCTGCCTTGTATTCTGAAGAGAAGCAGAAATGTCAAGATGCAGCCCCAATAAAATGTATTCCATTCATGTACATAGAGAAGCGATGAAGGCTCGGGTGAGCTCTTCCTCGGCGCAATTTCATCCTTAATCAAAACTCGGGTTAAATACGCCATTCCGACCTAACTCAGACCTTTCCGTTCGGGGGAAGAATCTTCCTCTAAGGCTGGGAGGATCGAGAAAAGCCACGCGAGCTCCTCGAAGAAACGCAGATGGTCCGTATGAGGGGAGGGGAAACGAAGGAAGCCGAGAGTGAAGAAACATGAGGGATCCTCTTCAATCTTTGACCTTGAAAAGGGGGCTTCTTAAAAATAGAAAGGCCTTCATGAAAGGGGTTTGATGATAGGATGACGGCTCTGCACAATACCCTCAAGGACGTCAGGGTCACCATGAGAATGATATTCGCCCGCACGCACTGAGCCCCTAATGGGGTTCGTGAGACCAGCTAAGTTTCCGTTTAATCTCCGAATCTCCTTTCTTGCGTCTGTTTCTAAGTCTATGGCCACGAAACGATCTGAGACACGATCTCGTGACACTTTCTCGAAAATGTCCCCAGAATGTGCCCAGAACGTACAAGAGGGAGCACCTTCTCAACACAGAAATGATCGCCTCGCGGCTGCATAGGAACACTGAATCCCACTTCTTGAACATACCGGTGTCATCTCGGTATTCCCCCCCCCCCCTTTACCCACTCCAAGAGGAAATTCGGAGTAGATGACCCCACCAAAAGAATGAACACGTTATAGAGCACGTTAAATGTCCTTTTTTCTGTTACCGATGCCCCATGAGAAAGAAAATTTGTTTTCGTTTTTTTTATGCTTACCCTATGGCTGGAATCCCGTCCCCCACTGTTCCCGTATATCGTGCCACAGTCGAATCGGATTCATGGCTGCTCCAGCTATATATCTAAGTCTCGGTCTTGATTCTTAACATACGATTCGTTACGTTCTGAGTGCGCAAGATGATGAGATTGAAGTGGTGATTGGCGATGACCGATCGATTTGGTGCGATATGTACGAGGAACTCATAGTACATGGGCATAATTGTCCCGTCCAATGTCATTTGAGTTTCGTAGGCTTATATATAATCGAGATGGTTGGAGAAACTGCAGAGAGTGAAGAATGAGGAGGGGAAAGGGAGTAGGTTCAAGAAATGTCCTTTGAAACGCCATTTGAAAATGGCTTTCGCCTCGCTTGTGTCTCACTTTTTTTCCCACGCTACCGGTAAGAAGTGCGTGTGACTGCGATGGATGGATATTGCGACAGAGGTAGATGGGACAGTTCTTCCTACAGTTGATGCAAGATGGCGACTATGCAGCTGCTATTTCAGTGGGATCATTGAGTGACTCATTAATTTAATACCCCTGTACCTCTCTCCGGTACTTGATCCATTTCCATTGAGAACGTAAAGGAAGACACTCGAATTTCTTAAAGCATTTGCTTAACCTGGTTAAGCAGTCCAAGGAGACTCCTGTTAATGATGGAGGAGGCTTGGTTCAAATCGGGGCTTCAATCAAAAGGGCGAGGATGAAGGAGACAGATATTTTTCGATTGTGGAGGCTGTGGAAGTGAAGTACTTCTCTCTGGAGTTCTTCAAGGCCGACCGAGAGAGACTCGGTGGCATGGTCCCATGTAGGGGAGCTGAACAATAACGTACGGAAATACAATCTCAATCCAAGCCTCCTTGAATAGCCTGAATGTCTTGCCGCATGTTGGCATTAGACGTTGGCCCAACGTGGGGCGGCGGGACAATCGTACGTTGGGCCAACGTTGGTCACATGTGTATATGCTGCCGGGGGAAGCGCCTTTCTTGTTCGAAAACGCCATAACATTTTTTCCATGACAGGGCGCGTATTTTGCATCACTTGAACTTCAATGGAATTGTTCGGAACAAGAATGCATGAATCTTGAAATGAGCGACCCGTAGACAGCGGGAAAAACCTAAATTTGAAAATGCGAACGTTAAACCATGCGGGAAAATGGCAATATTGACCTGGACAAGGTCAGCATGATGGTCTCGAAAGCCAGCACAACATTGACGTCAGCACAATTATTTTTTTTTTACCAGTCTGGCTGATTTGTGCATTGCAAAACCTTAGATTATTTATGATTTCCATATTGAATAAATATTTTCCTCCCACATGAACGCAGAGATAATTAATTTCCATGTACATCTTTTATTATTAATATATATCATTATTTATTTTTTCATTCATCAATAATACCTTGTTCGACACCAAAAGGGACACGAGACTTCTGCAAATAATCGCTTTGTCTTTATGTCCACAGATGGCCCAGTTATTGTAAACGTCAACCTCTACATCAGAGATATTCAGGAATTGGACGATAAAAGCATGGTGAGTTCATAATGAAGGAATTTAATACTATGAACAGTTTCATTGCTGATGGTTAGTGATAGCATTGTAGTCTTGACAGATGAGTGATTTATTAATTGCCAATGTTTAATAGTTAATGACTAAAGGTTGCTTGATGTCTAACGACAAATAAAGATTGATGGCCAATGGCTGATAGTGAATGACTGATATGACTGATAGTGAAATGACTGATAGTGAATGACTGATAACAATGAATGACTGATAGTGAGGACAGTTTTTGGATATCACCTGCGAAGAAGTTGAGTCAGGCCCCATGGCATCATCCAGATCATCGATGGGTGATCATCCAATCACTGAACGGGACTTTGCAGAGAAGTACTTGTAAGCTACAAAAGAAGTACCAGAAACCTTTAATTGTAGATGAACAATTGAAATTCTCCGTGTCGATTCCACGGGGAAGTCTTGTTCGTTCGTCCTGGAAAAGTTCTGAAATGAAGGAATTTTGTGTGCTTCTTGCAGCAATATAAGATACAGCTGACCTTCCGACAGCAATGGAGTGACGAAAGGCTGAAATTCGACGACATGGGAGGTAATGGCTAATTCTGATGAATGACGCGGATTATCGGCATGTGACAAATATTCACTTATAATAGTCACAAATAGTAATTTAAAGTTTTGTTGGACGTTGCAGGGAAAATTAAGCACGTGTCTCTGAGGGACCCGAGTACGCTGTGGATACCAGATACGTTCTTCCAGAACGAGATCGATGGGAAGACACACAACATCATGGTCCCGAACGTCTTCGTGAGGATTTCTCCCAATGGGAAGATTCTCTACAGCACCAGGTGGGGTTGCAAGGTCATTCGGCCTGCAACTGAATTTCATTTGGTCAACCCCTATCCCCCTCGAATTCCGTTTCGTGGAAGTGTTGATTTCTGGAATCCCTGAATGCTCAGAAAATAGGCGGTCAACGTTAAATCATGTTGAATAATGATGTACGAATCGTGGATCTTCTATGTATACGAGAATGCGGGCAAATCCAATGAACCTCTCTAAATGAATCACAAGCTATATATGGTGACTCATTGCGAATGGGGCAAGGGGCAAAACGGGAAATTCAAGTTTTTACCCAAACCATACTGCGTATCTATCAGATATGTACTGTATTCTGTATTACATTCTGCAAAATACAGGGCGGCCATAATGTCTGGAAGCATATGATATATTAAAATAACTTTTACTTAATCAATTTACTTAATAGGGTTCATCAACACTTTAAACGTCGCCTTCAAATCTGTATTGATTCAACCGGAGAACATTTAAGCATTTCCATTAGTTAATCTGTACATTATCTTAATATATCCTTAATACGATCATCCTACGTTTCCAGACTTTATGATCACCCTGTAGTTTGTAAACACCCTAAGAGCAAAATGAGAAAACTTCCACTTTACTTCCTCAGGGGGAGAACTGGATTTTCCAAAGAAGGACATTAAGTATTTAGTATATCTTATAACAGATACATATAATATGCATAATGTCCAAAGCCTATGCAGACATAAGCAATCGAAGCAGTCCAGCACACGTGGGCGAAAGAGGGTGTTTAGTTCAATTTGTGCAAAACAACCGTTTTAGCGCAAAACAGCCTCGCTTTCCATTAAAAATGACTTCGGTCAGTAAAAACGTATTTTCCTTTGTCAGGATGTCGCTGACTATGAGCTGTCCGATGAACCTGGTGCTCTTCCCCATGGACAAGCAGACATGCCAGATCCGGATCGCCAGCTGTGAGTTTCCTTCGCTTTCTATCCACACAAGAAGAATTAAGTCGAAACGAACAAATGAATCAAAATGAGAATGAATGAATTAAATGAAAGTGAATGGAAGGCTGTAACGCCATTTCCCTGATCCTTCCACCCCTTTCTCTTCACCACCGCACCCTCGATTCCTGGAGTATGCGGGTGGGCGGGCTATACAGTATAGGCACTATATTCATTTATTTGGGCTCTCCCACTTTTGTTACCTTATGGTTTCGTTTTCCGAATGAGTGCGGAGAATTTTTTTGAATTTGGACGAGAAAGATTCTCTAAAAAGCAATTTACTGAGTTACCTTAATAGACGGCATGAAGGAAACTTCATACTTAGAAAAGAATTCCATACATCCACACTTGAATTTCTTTAAAACTCACCTCATTTCTTAATAAAAGCGCTCAACATGTGATTGATTTTTAGAGGAAATGGTTTTTGGAATGTGGATTTGGTACGTTGATGCTTATTCATTAGTCTAACTTTTGGCCTGGCAAACGCTCTTCAGGGTTTCAAGAGAAATTTTTCTTGAACAAAAGGGAAAGGGGGATTAAGTTCCTTGCCATTCAAAAATTAATGATTAAGAAATTCATGTTCGGTTACCAAAAACGATACTGTCTTGGAATTCCATTGAGTGCTCTACTACGCTCGGCATCTATCAAGGGAAAAAAATAATAAACTGTCGTCAAAAATAAATTCATTCAACGAATGGATCTGCCATTCCAGACGGGAAGACGACCGATGACCTGGTTTTTCTCTGGAAGGATGGCGACCCGGTCCAGATCGTGAAAAACCTCCACCTCCCGAGATTCACACTGGAGAAGTTCTACACTGACTACTGCAACAGTAAGACGAATACCGGTGAGTTAAATGATCACTTGATCCATTTTATTTGGGGGGGGGGGGATTTTCCTTCCGTGGGCTCCATGACTTCTTTCGTGAGAAACTACTTTTGTACCCACCCTATTCAGGTGCTCTGATGACAGTGTGAGGTATACCCATTCAACCGTGGCACCCACGCACTGAATATCGTGTTCCCATAGGTTTTGAGCTGAAAATAATTTACGCATTTTGAAAGTCAATTTTTAAGATCAAAATGTTTCGTGTTCTTCCATGAAAATTAAGAAACAAAATTTCTACTGCTACTACTCTATGGTGGCGATCCAAACGTCTTCCTTTAGACCATATACCTTCAAGAAATAAGAATTTGCAGTGAAATCTGGAAATTGCTATGTTGTAGTTTCGCGCAATTTGCACGGGCCTCCCCTAGTGTATTAATAAAATTCTTAATAAAATATAAATTAATAAAATTAATAAAATAAAGTTCTATGAGGACAAAGACGTATTCGTTCATTGGCGATGCTTCTATATGAAGCTACTGAAGGTCCTGTTGGTCTGAAATAGTGAAAATCTGAAAGAAGACGCTAAAAACTTGCAAATACTGTATGCCAATTAAATCGTGGAGGATCCTGTATTTCTTGGGGTATTGATTCAAGTAATTTTACTTTCCAATTTTATTGATGCAGGGTACATTTTTTCTGATTTGTAATTATGGCAAGAAATGTTTACGCCATGTAGAAATTGAGTGGTGTCGAAAGCTGATTTTGCTATGTAGGTTCATTTCATTATATAGACATCAAGAAAAATCATAATTTCATTAGTTTGGCTTAAGCATTTGCAGAGATATTTTCCTAATTAGACAAAACGAAAAAAAGATGAAATTGTGTAAATATATATTTCCAAGAAAGTTTATTTCTAGTAAAGCCCTACTATGAAGGTCATTCCATCAACGCGCAATGTATTCTATGGGGATATTTCTGAGTATTCCCCAGCAGCGAATCGGAGAGTCAAGGAAAACAGAAGCATGTCATAGGAGTGATGAGCTGATCCTTTTAGGAAAGATTCTACTTCTTCCGAATATCTTCAGGGTGCATTTTTTCTAGGTGGTTTGGTAAAATGTTTTTTTTTTTAAACAGCAAAACCCGCAAAAGCAGTAAATCAATATCTTCATCGTTGTTTTCCAAAACATTCACCCCCGTGTGATATTCATGAGAATGAGATCCTCCCACCTTCAAGGTTATTAATAGGGGTAGCTTAATGGGTAATCTTACGATTTTTCGCCGAAAGAGAGAGATCCTCACACTTGTGCCATAAATGGCTCTTTAAGAAAGAAAAGGTTCAAGGGGACATTTCCTGTGGGAATGAAGGAATCCTCCACTTGTTTAATGTTGGTAAAAATGAAGCTGCCCATACGAAAATGCTTTAAGATTCTTAGGAATCCTGCAGTAACGTATAAGAATCCTATAGGTCCTATAGGGTTTCTATAGGCCACAGGGTTCAGTTTGGGACCTATAGGGTTCCTTATAGTACCTGCAAGGTTCGCTTTAGGACCTATAGGGTTCTACATACTTCCTATAGAGTTCCTATAGGACTATAGGGTTCCGTTTGAAGTTCTCCTCTAGGCCACTGGATGGAGATACGGTGTTCTCGCATTTCTCAAAGGCCACAAAAGTGACCTCCCCTTACCTATGGAATCATCTCCCACAAGAGTGTTTTGTACATCCCCCTATGTCTCGCCTCATTGTAGCAATCAATAACTTCGACACTTCCTTATTCGTCATCCCCATCTTCCAGATAGAATCATGGAGTTCAGGCTAGAAATATTATCATTTCCCCCTTGAAAAGCACGTATGAGAATAAGTTGACTTAATCGTAAAGGAATTTCAGTAGGAAGACATCCTTGCAGGCTCTGTCTTCTGTTTCTTTAGGTTGCGAGAGATGAATGCTACTTCTCTCTACTGAAGGAAGTGGACGTGCAATCCGGCGTTATATGTGGGCCTAGGCAATAAATTATGCAGACTTGGGCAGTACTAGTATTAGTATTGTCAGTGCCCCTACCATGGGAAATCTCCTAATCGATAATTGACTTGTACCAAAATGCAGGGCCAATATTGACCCCGGTAGCCTTTTCGTCTTAATGCCTGGGTTTCGAAACCCAAAAAATCCTCCCCGAATCCCATACTTCGGCGGTCCAATAAGACTCCATAGGGATCCTATAGAATCCTATAGGTTTTTTGTGCTTCAAAAACCAATAGGGAATTCTATAGGTTTCCTATGATAAATAACTATATGTTTCCTGTAGAGCCTTTACGTAAGAGCGGGCTATGACATCTCATTTCAAGATGCAACTGGAAGTGAAATATACCTATGAACCAAGGAGTTTGACCACATACAGGTTGAATTTTAATTATTATCCCAACGCTTGATTCAATAGTGCTATTAGATACAACAGTCATATTTATTTTTGCATGTGCAGTATGAGACATTAGCTTATATTTCCCGTTCACCGAGGCCACCAGACTTGACACCCCGGACTTTATCCTCTGGGGTGTTCTCATAGATCAGGTGTATCCCTCCAAACCCAGGACTGTTGGGCAGTTTAAAGCCACCATCCGGGCTACAGTCACAGTAATCGATCAGGAGTTTTGTCAGAAAGTCTGTTCCTCGATCCCTTCCATATTGAATAATTGCTTGCTGCTCGATGGTGCTCAAACTGAGTTGTTCTAGAAGCTTAGATTTTCTTCATGAGTATTCTGTTCATTTGGTTACTAGTTGGTGTTGAAAACTTACATTCTTTTTGGACAGTGTCTTTTCAGCAAACACTCAAACGTTAAGAGATAATTACAATTCATCCTGTGTATGTGGAAGGATTGAAAACGGATGCGTTATACATATTAGTAATATTCTTGATCGTACAGTGTCGAATGCGCCTCCACAGAAAAATACAAAATGGTCAGCAGATTCATCGTAGAGCTCCTATTATTTGAGATTGACATATAACCGTCGCATTTCCACAGGAGAATACAGCTGCCTGCGAGTGGACCTGGTGTTCGTACGTGACTTACGGTACTACCTGAAACACATCTACATCCCGTCAAGTATGCTGGTAATTGTGAGCTGGCTGACCTTCTGGTTGGATCGGAAGGCGGCAGTTGGGAGGGTGGGACTGGGGATCATCGTTTTGCTCACGATGGCTGTGCAGTGCAGTTTCATCAATGCTTCGCTTCCGTCTGTATCGTACACGATGGTAAGCGGATATGTATTTACTTTTTGTCGCTATGTTTTGTCAATTATCTACATTTCATTTTCTTCTAATTTTAAAAGATTAGAACAGAAGAGCAAATTAGGGGGTTCACCCGCCAATGATAATCCCTAACCTGCTGTCAATACCCACATATGGAAATTTCGTGGCCTTTTATGTGTACAGTTTTCGATATCCACGATAGAGTTCGTGCCATTAACGCACTTTTTATGACTGAAAATTTTCCGGAACCTCGATACGATGTGCCTCGCATAGAATGACCATCTTATCAGGCATAGGGAGGCACTAAAGACCTCATTAGCACCGTGACTAGTACTAGGTGATACTCGGTGCCTGCCTTCCTGTTAGCTCTAATGGCTCTATCAAAACTTTTCTTAATTCGCTCTTAAACGAAGCCTGATCCAAAAAGCCTTTCTAGATGGTGAAACCAATAATATAATTGTATTCAAATTGCAGGCTTGCAGTGCAAGCATTCCGATGATTGGGATTCTCAATATACTAATCGTTGTCTGTCTTACTCTCTACTTTTCCCTCAAAAGAGCCGTGGAATACGTCAATCATTCCGCCCAGCATCTCATTGTGTACCTCATACACCGATACTTCCCAGATTCTCTCCCCTCCGTAGGCCATCGACGTGTGGACGGGCATGTGCCTCACCTTCATGTTCTTTGCACTCCTGGAGTCGGTCTTCGTGAGCTACGCCTCCAAGTCGGGCGTGCGTCGGGACCGAGACCAGACCGAGCTGGAGTCTGTCCCCTTCGAGGTGGAGAAGCCCAAAGCGGCCGCCAAGGGTCGCCTCTCTCTCTGGCTCAACAAAGTCCAATCTCGACCCAGCAGGGTGGACGTCGTCTCTCGCATCGCCTTCCCCGTCTGCTTCGCGCTTTTCAATATTGGCTACTGGGCAGGCTACGTCTAACTTCAAAGTAATTACCACGAAACGCATCAGCATCAATCGATTCCAGGGCCTCATCGTATTTTGGGCTCCACCATATGCTGGAGCCTTATCGCTTCTTCTCCGCCGTCATCTTTTAATACCCTCTTTCCTCTTTCCATGATTGTTGTTGCTTATGCTTTGGAATCCTGTGTTAATAACTATTGAATACTTAAACTGTAAAGATATGTACAGATATGAATCCCATTCCTTAACCCAACGGATGATCTTCCAAAGAAGCCCATCTTGCATGCAGCCATTATCGGTGACCCCAGAGATCTTAAATGCTTTGGAACTTTGCAGATTTGAGAGTTCTGGGTGGAAAGGCCTAAATAAAGACGTTGCCTGCAATTCTATTTACTGGGAATTTACATGCTTTAACGTGACCTAGAAAAATTTCAAGTAGTTTGAGCATATTTTAACTAGAGTTTTTTTGTTAATACTCATTAACACTGAAGAAAGTGTGCGATGTGTTCGTTTTGCCAAATATAGCCTGTTGAAAATGTTAAAGGAAACTGACTTAAAACAGCATTTTTCTCGTATGACTATTTCACGAGTAAAGTACAAGTAAAAATCACTATATTGATTAATAAACCTGGGGATGCCCTGGGTGACCCACTTATCAATAGTCAAGTGCAGATGAGTTGCGTCGGAACTAAATCCAAGCCGACTTCCGTGGTAATGACAATAAAATCTGTTTGGCATGAAACGGACATTCTTTGGGGTTAGCTGTTAATTCATATCTAATTTTGAAGAAAAACTAGTACTAATTGGCACCAGATGATTAACTGGGTTGAAGGCCTTCCATTCAGAGAACAGAAAGGCTTTACGAGGTTTATACTTCGTGCCGCAGCCTTCTTATATCAGCATTATTATTTCATACAAGCATGTAGTGTAACTTTTTGTTGCCCACGCCAGAGACGATTCGTTCTTTCGAGTTGCCATATCCATGGCAACATATCAAAGTACTTTGTATTGAATGCCCTGCCCCTTTTCTAAGGAAAGTATATCTTTGCGGTTGAAAAGAGTCACTTTCACAGAAATGAACAGGTTTCTGTTCAATCTTGTTCGTAATGACAACACCATTGAACATTTTCATTCCTGAATTTTCTTCACATTTTGACGAAAATTCAATTAGCATTGTATGAACGTTAAGTTTGAACTTTCCCACCGTCGGGGGGTTTTGCATCTAACATTAATTCAATTTTTACCACTTTCGCATCCATGCAATCCACGCATAGCAATGCAAAACCACCCGCCTGCGGGTGGTTTTGCATTGCTATGCGTGATGTAATCTATTGACTTCTTCCATTCATCGTATGAATTTTATCGTCACATCCCGATGAGGTCAAATTTAAATCAAATTGGCGATGTTTCTTGACTCATATTTTATTACAATGTATTCAATATAAGCATGTGTATAAGGGTGAAATGGAAATTATTTCTTCCTCATTTCTGCGTATAAGGCATATTATGGGAGTCTTCATATGTATTATGTACTTGGACATATCAAAAAGCTCCAGAACTGGTTTTCTTATGAGCAAACTATGTGCAGCCGCTCTGTTTCAATATGATCCCCTTCGAAATACATGGATGACAAGAAAAGCAAGCAACTTGAAAGTTTTCTATGGAATCCATACCTTGTACTTGATTAGTCTGAAAATTTTATGGATCGTTGCCTACTATGTTTTCCTAGACTTTTGGAATTTTTTTAATTTATGGGTATCCATTCATGAGTTATGGCATATTTTGTTGAAGTGGTAAAGAAAGGAGTAAGCAGGCATGCGACTGCCATTGCGAGGCACGAATACAAATTGCATGAGGATCCCTGAAAATGCATACAGATGCATGAACCTTTTATGGTTGAGTACGTTTTTGACAACGTTCTATTAATTTTTCAGCAGGATCCGTCCAGTGGAACTGATTCATTAGGCAAAAATCACATGCGGATTCGTGCCTCACCATTTTCTGGGTTTTCTGTGTTTTCTGGAGACTCCTTGGATTGGGTTATTTCCATTGATGGATTTGTTCAAGAACTTGAGTATCTTTCGCTCTGGTTTATGTGGAGATAAATCAGCTACATTGTGGAAAGTATCGGCACTAGTTCCAGCTGTATCAGGACTTGACCGGCTATTGACCTTATTGACCTTGGCGCCATCTATCTTCAGTTGTGCGACACTTTTTTCTTTCAGCCGATGTCAGATGGTTGCCAATGATATGCTTCAGGAAGATATCATAAACGTTAGGCGAATGTCCTTTAAATGCAGGTTTCGTGATTAAAAGGCACCTTAACTGAGCGCCAAAATGGTGCCCCTTCCGGCACACTGGATGTCGAAAGACCTCTTTGATAAAATGTTGAACGCCCTTGAAAGCATTTATGTGCTACTTGGGCAATGGCATCTATATAATAAAATCTGCTGTGGTCCGTGGTGGTGGTCGTTGGTTCGTGGCATGCCCTCGCACACAAGACAGACGCGTCTGCTCAGCGCTGTGCTCTCCCATAGTGTCTTCTGCCTGCCTCTGGGTGAACGTCTCTCTCTCTCGGGTTCGCATTGTTTTCCCAGTTGTTGGGACTGTCGGATCTTTTCTGGAGAACGTAATACCCCGGGGATGGGGAAAGAGTTTGGATGACATAATAGGACAAAAAGAAAGTAATGGAGGGGCCGGGAATCGAGTCTAGGGTCTCCACGTTGTCGGTCGAGTGCGCTACCACTACAGCACCGAACGCAAAACCTTTCCTCGCCCTTTCCATGCCATCCCTAACATAACAACGGGAGAGAGAGGCATTCCCCTCACGAAAACGTCTTATAGGATTCCTATATATTCCTATAAGAATCATATAGGAACCTAAAGGAATCCTAAAGGAACTAAAAGGAATCCTATAGGTTCCTATATGCCCCATAGAGTTCAGTTCGGGACATATAGAGTCCCCTATAGAACCTATAGAGTTCCCTATAGAACCTACAGAGCCCCCTATAGAACCAATAGGGTTCCTCATAAGGCCTATAGGTTCCCTATAGGACCCAAAGGGCTTTGTAAAGGACCCGTAGGGTTCCCTATAAAACCTGTAGGGTTCCCTATAGGACCTATAGGGTTCGCTATAGGACCTATAGGGTTCCTATAGGGCCTACAGGGTTCCAAATAGGACCTATAGGGTTCCCTATAGGACCTATAGGGATATAGGACCTATAGTGTTCCCTGTAGGGCTTATACGGAACCCTATAGGCCTATAGGGTTCCGTTTGAAGTTCTCATCTAGGCCACTAGATGGAAGTATTTGGTTCTCACATTTCTCAAAGGGCACAAAAGTGCCCTCGCCTTACCCAAAGAAATCATCTCTCACAAGAGAGTTTTGTACGTCCCCTAATGTCTCGCCTTGCCTCATTGTAGCAATCAATTAACTTTGACAGTTCCTTATTTGTCATCCCCATCTTCCAGATATAATCATGGAGTCCCGTGAAGAAATATGCCCTTATTCCTTTTGAAGATCACGTACGAAACTAAGTAGACTCTATCCACATGGAGTTTCAGTAAAGAGACGTGCTCGCAGGTTCTGTCTTCTATTTCATCAGGTTGAGCGAAGAACGCCACTTCTCTCTACCGAAGGAAGTAGATGTGCAATCCAGCGACACATGTGGGGCGGGGCCATAAAGTATGCACACGCTCGCAGTATTGGTATTAATAATGGATGTGTCCCTACCATAGAAAAACCCCTAATCGATTCTTTGATTTACACCGAAATGCTGCGCGAATATTATCCCCTGTCGCCTTTTCCGTCGTAATGCCTGGGTTTCGAAACCCAAAAAATATCCTCCCCGAATCATATAGGTCAGGACACCTATGAGACCCTATAGGGATCCTATAGGTTTTTCGTGTTTCAAAAACCTATAGGTAAGTCTATAGGTTTCCTATAAGAAATAGCTAAAGCTTTCCTATAGGACATTTCCGTAAGGGTCTACGCACACCTCCCGCTCTCTTTTTAAGGGGGTCCGATACGGACTTTTCCATAGGGACGTGTGAAACGTCCCCCACGTATTACACTTGTTTGTCCCCTTTCATCTCTTCAGATAGGATGACTTCCTCGCCGGTATGAGATCTCCGCCCATGTATTTATCGGGATCCGAACCCCTTTATCAATGGAAACCCCATCCTCTTATTCCTCACTTGGAGAGTGGCTCCCGAGAGCGAAAACGGCGGGATCCCACCTGCATGGCACAGGAGCGCTTACTCATGGATCGGAAGGAACTTCGGCGGCTTCGTCGCTATCCCGTTTCTCAATCTACAATTTCTCGTGTGGGCCTCAAGTTCCAGGCCATATTCATGGCGAAAAGAAGTCTTGAAACGACTCGATAGGGCTTACTGGTTCCTCTGAGAACCTATTGTGCCTGCTGTGTCGGGGCTGTTTTCCTAAGAGTTAATATTTAGAAGAAAGTTGGGTCGAAAAATGAGGGGGGAATTCCAATAGGAGTGAATGGTGACTAGGGCCATAAGCCCAACAAGTATTGCTTTCAATTGCAGCTCGCATGCCTATACTGTTTCTATGGGTGCGCCATTTCCATTTATTTATTAGCTCAGTGGATTTCCCATAGCCGTAGTAACAGGTACACGCAGCGTGGCATGAGGCCATTAAAGTCCGGAAACGTACGCTGCGGGTTGCAATGCGAGTTGCGTGAGGCCGCGGGTAAAAGCCTGCATATCACATCGTCCTACCAGGCGACGATTTAAGGTAACTCCTTGATATTTGGGTTACCCTTCGTCTTCGCTCGGCGTCGGTTCCCCGTCCTTCGCAATGACGATTGACGACGCGCAGGGGCAGACCGAGAAATTTGGGGTGCTTTTGCCCTGTCCTGTCTTCTCGCGTGGCCAGCCAGGGGACAGGGGGGCAGGGGGGCAGGGGGGCAGGGGGGCGGGAGTGTGGCGACTGCCTTCCATCGCCATTCGTAGCCTTTAAATGCCTCTGTGCTTTCGCACGGGCTACCTACTAGTATGTATTAAGCATGCAGGTCTCATCGATCCGTGATCATCCTCGGCACCCGTTCAGTGAATGGAGCGAAGGAGGCCACTGCGAATGGAGTCGAAGAAATAGATATCGCCCCAATTTCATCATGGACCACCTGGGATTTTAATCCCAGGATTTCCTGCAGCGGGCGAGAGCCTTGACGGTGAGCGATGCCACCGTTCCCTTGCGACCGTAGCGGCAATTCTCGTCTCCTCGTTCTTCCGAGAGATGGCGGGACGAGAGCGGATCTCCGATTTTCCCGCGAAAGTTCCATCCCCTCCCTTTCCTGTGACCGATTTCGAAATTTTACTCTGAAAAGGCACATTCTTGTATGATAAGTTCTGTCGAAACTCCAAGTTCATATCTCGAAGCGTTTGGCCTGTAGAGTTGTCGCACACACGCACACGCACACACACACACACACACACACACACACACACGCACACACACACACACACAAACACACACACACACACACACACACTCGCCTAGCTCACTAATTAGCACTTCGATCCGATGAAATAAATTATCGATGATGCTTCGACCCGAATCCATGGATCCTTGTCTCAAATCGTTATTTGTTATTTACTCTAGACATTCTCGAAAGGGTTGTCAACGTTTTTTAAAAGCGAATTTCGATGGCGCTCATCAGAGGTGAGACCCTTTTCTTGATGCGATCCCTGGTCCCATCGGATGTCCTTTGACCTTTACGTCCTTCAGCACAGACCCAGAAATAAACAATTCGGGTCTCCCATCTGGCAACTGCATCCAGGGAGAGACCGGGGCGAGACCGGGGAGAGACCGGGGCGAGACCTCCGCGATTGACCTCCACAATGAAATTTTCCGCCTTCTTTTCTCTTCTCGCCGTGCGCTCTCTCTCGTTTCGGCGTTAAAAATTCTCATTTGTGTTAATTAATTTTTTTTTTAATTTTAAAATTATTTTTCATTTCATTTCAGTTATTATTCGCCGACTGGCATCCGGCAACGTCCATGCCAAGACAAGCAATAAGAGGCAATTAAGTAATGAAATCATTACGGGACCATGCAATGCACATAATGCCAGCAGGCCATTCCTTCGCCCAATTTCCTGCCTGCCGAAAATTAAATTGAAAAAATTGTTTTTCTCCTTCCTTTTTTTTTGCTCTCTTTCCTGCGCCGAGTTCGAAAAATTTCTTAATTTTAAAAATGAATTTAGAAACGTTGGAAACCAGAGTCATGATTTCCCATTTTAAGGCATCCTACCGCGTTTGAATCCTAATTAGCTGGATTATGATTCGCGATGCTCATTAAAATATGCATATTTCTTATTAAATTCATATTATTCAAAGGCATAATTATGTAAGGATATCCCCGGCATATATATAATTATCCGTTATGGAGGCTGATCGCGAGTCAGCAGCCGAAAAGAATCCATCACCTCGGCCTCTGCTTGGTGCAATAAAGATTTTGTCTGGAGACACGGATGCCGAAACAGCTTTTAATACTTGAGTTCTCATCTCGAAGCGAAGCGAATCCCGGCTCGACGTTTTTTTTGCTTCTATAAGTTTTTTTTTTTCGTAGATGATGATTGGGATCGGTCGTGAATTCCCTCGCGATTGCACGCGATCGAGGCGTGGAGGCAGCGAGGAAGAGGGGAGAGCGGATAGGATCTGGCAACACTGGTGCGGCGTGTCTCTCCCCCCCGCGTCCTGCCTCACGTGGGCGTGGCAGCGCTTTTATCTCGCGCCCGGCCCTCATTGGGATGCGGGGTCCGTCCTATTTCCTTTCGCATTGGGGGCCGCTCAAGGACGCTCTCCGGCGGGGATTCAACGGGGGTTCAATGGGGGTTCAATGTCGATGAGTGTCATGCGCGAAGGTTAGTCGTGTGCGTTACGGGATAGCACGGGAAAAATTTCCCGAGAAGGAAATTCCAAGCCGGTTTTCTGGTTTCGCTTAGGTTGTGTCGCGCGGGCACTGAGCAATTCTGTCCGTTGAAAGTTAATTAATTATTTGGTTTCGAAGTGATTAATGACTACGTCTGCTAGTCGCTCTGCGTTGTGTCCAATTATTTGTTTTTACAGCCATTCGTGCGTTATAAATTCGCGACTGGAGAACCGGTAACACGATAACTGGCGGCAAGTATGCTAATTGTTCTCGCATGAACCTCTCCTCCGAGCTGACATTTCAAGAAAAAGCGCACGGAGACACCCTGACAGATGACCTTGGTCTGAGACTCCCCCCTCCCCCCCTCGTCCCCTCCCCCCCTCGCCCCCCCTCTCCCACCCTGAGAACTACACCATATGTAGACAGAGGGAAGACGCAGTGCGTCCGCGATTCTCGGCTGGATCCGTACGGTGCGTGTCCGAGGTGCGTGGAGTTTCGGTGCGTGCAGTGCGTGTAGATTCGGTTTGTGCAGTGCGTGAAGCACGCGGGATCCTCGCGAGGGAGGAAATCGCCTCTTCCCTCCGTCCTCCCTCCACTGCCCTCCCTCCACTGCCCTCCCTCCACTGTCCTCCCTCCATTGTCCTCCCTCCACTGTCCTCCCTCCCGTATCTTTCATCTCCCATCCTTGCTCTCCTTCCCTGTCCCGCAGGTCAGCAGCGGAGTCAGCCGAGATTTATCGCTGGAGGACGAAAAAGGAGAATAAAGCCCGATATGAAGCCGATTTACGTCCTCCTCGTCGTTTTCTCTCGAGTCACCTGGTAGGTCACCGATCCTTTTAGGAAAATTTCCCTTCAACTCGATGGAGGATTTGGAACCCCTTCGAATCGAATTTGAATCTAATTTGAATCTAATTTGAATCCACTCGATGCTCGAAGCGGCCGACCCATCTGTCGCCTTTCCGGCCCTATTAATTGCGCTATTTATATTTAAAGACGGTGGAAATTACCGAAGCGAAAGGCGTTCCCTTCAAATATTAATTTATAAGTACTACTTTAATGGATAAATATTTGAGGCCCACAGCAAGCGAGTTGCACGGAGGGAGCAAAAAGTCAAACGACACCGCATAAACAGTAATCGAAGCAGAAAGTGCCCTTTCGGCGTGCGTGACGGACCCTCACGACCGAGGCAGCCACAAGGGCAATTTTATTGGATGGTCACCTTGGGGGCATGGGGGGCATGGGGGGCATGGGGGGCATAGGGGCGGAGGATGAGGGGCGATCGGTTATTTGTCATGTCGGAATGTTTTAGCGTGATTGCATCTGAAGATTGGTCGTTGTTAATGCTCCTTTCAAAACAAGCTGTTTGTCGAGACCGGAGTATTTTGATGGCAGACGATCACATCTGGTCGCGTTGGAGAAAAATCAGTTGCAAAGGAGAGCGCGACACGGAATCTGAGATGAATCGTTCTTAGGAGCAACCGCTGTTGCCGAAGCCTCTCTTTGCAACACGGACGAGAGTCCATAGTTATATCGTATATATATTTTTTATTTTTTTTAAATTATATTTATTATATATTATCTAATATATATAGACGATCGTGACTGACTGACTGACGCTAATTCTAACCATGTTCTAGATAAGTTAGAAATCTGAAAGTTGGTACACATGTACCTTTTGGGATGCAGAGTTCAGAAAAAATCCGACTTTGGAGGTACATGCCCTGGGGGTACAAATTTTGGGGGGAAACGTTTTTCTTAAGTATATTTTGTGACAGATGAGGATGGCATTCATAGTGTCAATTGTTTGAGCTTGGTGCGGTGGTGTAGTCGTAGCGTCTCCGACTTGCAATCATAAGGTCTGGGTTCAATTCCCGGCCAATCCTTGGCGCTTTATTTTGCCAGACAGTTAAACGGAGAAACATGGAAAGCTGAAACTTGGCATGGACGTGCCTACCGAGACAATGAGTTCAGGAAAAATGAAAAGTTTTAGATCCATGCCCTGGGGGCATATTTTTGCGAGGCGACGTTTTCAAGTACTTTTTTTTCCTGGCGTATTGAGCTAGTGTGGAAAGATGGAACTTGGTACATAAATACCTATTTGGATGCTCCAGAAAACTTCAAACTTTAGAAGTAAATGCCCTGGGGGCGCAAATTTCAAAGTGAGATGTATCGCTTCTCCCTCCTCGCTCGTATTGAAGTGAACAACTTGAAGTTCGTCGCCACGCCACTAGATGGAGGTAAGGGTCTCACTTTTCGCACGGAACACGAAAGTTCCCTTCCCTCTTTCTCTGGAATCGCCCCTAGCAAGATTGTTTTTACCTCGACACGTGTCTCGCTAAGTCTCATTATAGGAATCAATAAACACTGAATTTCCGTCATTTGTTATCCACATATTCGAGACAGATTCATGGCGCCCAGGCCATAAACAAGCTCATGAGAGAATGAGGAAATGAAGGACCATGGAACCGCAAGAGGTGGTTCATCCTCTGACATATACTGTAATCAGTACAGTCAAAAGTAGGTCAATGCCTGTACTGGGAGCGAAAGAGGCACTATGTAAATATAAGAGGATTTGCGTATTTGCGCGACATCCCTATCTCTTTCTGATGGGAGCCTTTTTACTCATAGAGGAGGAGAGCAATGTTACTCTTTGGTGATGGAGCAAATTCGCACCTTTCCTAGAGTGAAAGGGGAGTGAAACTGGAGTTAGCGCTTTTACTTTCTCTTTGGAGAAAAATCGCTCCCCTTTTCCAAGGAGAGTGCATCCTTACCCAGTCCTTCTACAGCAGAATGCCCGAGACAATAGACCTCCTCTTTTCTCAGACCGATTGCATTCCTGCCGGTTGAACTGGCCTTGGGAGGCGTCATCCCGGCCTCGCCCTCTTCCAGTTTTGGTCCTTCTTCGTTTCGCCAGTGACGGATGATGGATGTGGAAGGAGGCATTGTGACATCGTTTGCTACGCTGTCACTTGCGACGCTGTCACTTGCGACGCCGTCAGCTGTGGGCCGAAATCGCGGTGGCTTTCTTAATGGGTCCCTTAAGGATTCGGATACAATAAATACTTTTTTTTGACGCAATTTATCACTTAATGAGCTCTTAATCTTAATGAGCTCTTAATCTTAATGAGCTCTTAATCTTAATGAGATCTTAATCTTAATGAGCTCTTAATCTTAATGAGATCTTAATCTTAATGAGATCTTAATCTTAATCTGCATGAGCTCATTGCTCCTTGCCCCGCCTTAAATTTTTTTTTTCATGTTTTGCTTCACATTGATATTATTGTTTTAATCTCGCTAGTTTAATTTCAAGCACCTAGAATTTTAAGTTCAGTATTGAAAAAATACAATAAATCCGAGAAAGAGAAACGCATCGAATGAGAATCAAATCGCAGAAACTTTACGGAAAGTTCAATGGAGGCGATTGCCATCGAGGAAGACCAAGCCTCGATTTTCCCTGATTTTCTTTTTTTTTTTCCCCCTCGCCTTTGAGGAACCTTTAAATCCTAATGGAACTTCCTCAGCGAAAAACGACGCGAGTCCTCCCCGAAAATTCTGGGAACGCGCTTGAATCCCTGATACGAGGGAAAAAGGAATTCATTCCGGTCACGTTGCACTCGAGTGTCCCCTTCAAAATGGGAGACGCGGAGGGAATGCCAGGACATGCCATTTCGGCATGTTCTGGCATGACAAGAACGCGAAAGACGAAATCGCCGATCGGACATTCCTTTCTCTGTTTCAACTTTACCGTCGGCGTAGGCGCTTGTGTCGGCGTTAGCGTTTGTGTCGGCGTTGGCGTTAGCGCTTGTGTCGACGTTAGCGTTAGCGTCTACGTCGACCTGTGAACACGGAACACCAACGCGACGTTTCGACTCGTCTGGCAGTCCCGTGAATTTCCTATTTCGTCCCGATTTCATCCCTGTTTCATCCTTCTTCCCAGGGCCGTGGATTACCGGGTAGAGGAGAAGCGCATCCTGGACGAGATCCTCAAACCGGAGAAATACGATTCACGCATCCGGCCGTTGGGTATCAACCAGACCGGTCAGTCACATTTTCAACTGCTCTTCTTTCGGGCTCGTTTTCGCTTCGGTTTCCGGTGATGCAAGGGTGGAGAAGCGTTTAAGGTATCGATTGCATTCGGGGAATCGATTGCATTTGGGGAATCGATTGCATTTGAGGAATATATTGGATTGAGAAATCGATTGCTTCTATGGTTAATCCTTAGCGGTCCATTTTTTAAATCTCCATAGCAGTTTCGAATAAAACGGATGGCAAAGGGCTAAGGGCAACGCTCAGAAGATTTCTTCTTCTTCTTCTTCCAGAGCTGGAATGGCAACGAGGAAGACGAGTGCAAGTCTCTAGTGCTTCACTCGGCTTGAGCCAGTTGAGCGGGTTGAGCAATTAGACGCGCAGTCAATTACGCTGACGTGAGCCGGCAATTAGTCAATTCATGCATGTCTGTGTCGACTGTGTCGTCCTCACAAGATAAATTTCGATCACAAGATGGCACATGGAAGAGTAGGGTGGGGGAGGGGCGGGGTGATATCAATCTCAAGGAGCCTGTAGAATAATATGTATTTGCGTGCTGTATCGCAGCCTTGCATTCTGAAGAGAAGCAGAGGATTGAAGACGGAGCTCAACGTGTTTTACGCTCGTGTCATAAGAGTTGCGATGGAGGCACGGGAAATAAACTTCTCCCCTGAGTGCAATTTCATTATTTTCGAAATTGAGCCTAAAAATAAGAATCCGACCCGAATCCCTTCGAATGGGAGGGAGAATCCTCCTTTCCGGCTGGGATGTTGGGAGGGCCCGCGCGAGGGAGGACCGGCGTGAGGGAGGGCGCGCGCGAGGGAGGGCAGGAGGAAGGAGAAGGAGGAGAGTGAAGACGCACGATGCAACATGTCCCCCTCGACCTTGAGGAAGGGGCTTCGTGAAAAAAGGGCTTAATGGAAAAAGGCTTCCATGAAAGAATGGATCCTCTCCACAATACCCCCCCCCCTTTTTTTCTCCCCGAGGTCATTATGAGAATGAGATTCACACGCACGAACTGAGTCCCTTATGGGGTTCGTGGGACCAGCTTAGTTTTCGTTTAACGGGTGGATCTCCTTGTCGAAATCTCTCGGTCGCGAGACAATCCGGGACGCATTCTAGGTAGGCTTTCCCGAAAATGTCCTCAGATTGTGCCATAGATCGTGCGCGTGGGAATAACTCTAGGCACAAATGATTGATGTGAATTGTCCTGGTCGAAATCGTGAATGGTCTGTCCCCTTCCAAGAAGCGTCAAGCAGAAATTCCATCAAGGACACGTCGAGGTGCTCGAGGTGCTCCAGGTGCTCCATGTGCTCGAGGTGCTCATGTTCATGCTAGGGCTTGATTTAACCCCTTAATTGGACTCGCCGCATATGTGCGGTCTGGCACCTGCCATCTCTCAATGGACTCACCGCACATATGCGTTCGCGTGTTTTCTGGCTGGTCTACAATGGATTCGCCGCGTATTTGCGGTCAATTTTGCTGT